ACTAACCCAGACTTTTCATCGTGGTCTGAGTCAGAATCTGATCCAGATTCCTGCCCATTAAATAAGTCAGAAACTGACCCAGATTCATGCTCGTCCTCTGAGTCAGTAGCTGGCCCAATTTTTATCCCGCCAAGTGTGCACCTTTCATCTTCAGGTTTCAGGTTCCCCTTCTCATCCTGTCACAAATCAAACACAACACTTAACGTCACCTTGTCAGTAAACAAACACTAAACATAACAGGAACCTCCACTCTTTATACAAATAATGCCTAAAATGTTCCAGATGTATTTCTTAACAGATCTGACATAAAAATTGCCTTACAAAGTAATCTTATATTTTGGATGTTTTCCAAAGAAGCGTCTAACAGCCACTTCGAATTTCCCGCGGCCGCCATCTTGGATGGTGCACACTGCTGACGACGAATGACGGTTACTCGGTGACATCGCGGTGAAGTGTTTCACTCTTTTTGATGCTATATTCAGTGAATAAGTCACAAATCTTCCCCATCAGTTGGAGCCATAAGTACCATGAAGCGTTCAATCGGCAGTCGACATTTTCAGAATTAAAACCTGATGCTTCTCTATATTCTTAACCTTCGACTTCACTTTCCTGTCTCTCTCCGCTTGAAGAGGACTCCGCCTCCAATATATATAGCATCTACAAGCAACATAGCATCAACAAGAGTGAAACACAACGCCGCGAGTGCACCGAGCGACCATTACACAACATCAGCCAAGAGTGCATTGCGCACCATATATGATGGCGGTCACGGGAAATTCGAAGTGGCTATGAGACCCTTCTTTGGAAAACGATGAAAAAAATCAGATCGCTAGGTGAGGCAACTTTTTTTGCCAGGTCTATTGACAAGTACATTAGAACATTTAGAGAGCTATTTGTTAAAAGAGTGGAGGTTCCCTTAAATCACTGTTGAAGACACCAGAAATCAAACTTGTTCTCCTCAATAAATCTTTGTGATAAGAAAAGTGAAGCCCAAAGTCTTGCTGACCGAATCCACCACTTAAAGGCAGCTTTTCTATTAACGAGTGTTCCTTAAGAGATTACATCACAAATGTCAACATCCTACAGCAGCTGCGCCGCTGAAAATGGTAAATTGACGTCTGCGCAATACAAATTGAAGTGATAATAATACTAACTATTATTATTATTAGTAAAACTATTTGATTTACAACTAAGTTGTAAGTGTTCTAGACATATCCTTTATATTTCATAGCACTCGTCACAAGAAAGAAAAACTTGTTAAATGATCACTTTTCCTATCTACCAAGCCCAGAAGTTATGGGAATAAAAGGCAGTTTCGGAAAATTTCAACAAATCGACAGGGGTTTAGCGTTGTCTGTACTCTTATCGACAACGGCAAATTGGCCACTCAGATGGCGACAAAACTACTGATTGTGGTAAAACGAACAACAGAACAAATACACAATAGATCTTCGCTTAAACACTCATTCTAATTTCCGTTGCCCAGATTCCTGAAAACCATCTGTTAACTCCCCATACAATGGTACTGTGTTCTAATTAGTTCACTTTATGTTTCTGTTCATTTGCACTGATAAGAAGGAACAGCTGATTCCACGTCTAAGGCATAAAATCAGTAGTGGATTATATCCAGGTTCAGCGTCTCCACTGACAATAAATTTGCAAAATAATTCGACTAAAAATGTTCACTAACAGACTTCTTACGAATTCTTCAGACATAAAAACATTTCTTTTGATACGATGAATTTTCACCTTAACTTAAGATTAATTTGCTTTCATGATAAATAGAAAAAATGGTAGCGGCAAGAAATGAATGAAAAAATTTTTCAGTAATTTACAATGCTTAAATTGTTTATTAATAATTTGCAATTGTAACAGTTTACCTGAGTTTGTTTGCCTTTGGAGAGCCACAATGTTCGCTTTGCACTCTCCACTTTGACATCCTCTCAGAGACCTTTAAACAGTGGCTATCTAACGTATCTACCACTGATACAGTTAGTTCAACCGCGTATAAAATTCAAGAAAGAAGAAAGCTTGGGCACGCGTTCTACTTTTGTCATCATAGATTCTCATTACACAATGGTAAGTCGCGGGAAAGAAACGCTAAGAGAACCAAGCTAAACTAATAGAACCATTCCGTAAAAAATGGAAAAAAAATAAAAATCTCTCGGATATTACCTATAAACCGCCTTTCAGTTCTGCAGAAATATATAAGGTGCCATAGTGAGTCAGACATGTCAAGCAACTTAAGCAAGTTGGTCCAGATTGGCGAGTTTTCCACAAAACAGTGAGAAATAAACATCAACAACATAGCAAAATTGACGTAAACAGCAAGATGAAATAGACATTGCACACCGTGGTAGCTACACATGTCGCATGAAAACTTTAAAGCATTTCAAGATTACTACAAAATGTCTAAAACTGATTTGAAATGAGCGGTATGGTAACTTTTCATGAGATAAGTTTTACCCTTTTTCTCTTAAAGTAAACAAAATATCACAAAGTTCTGCATCCAAGGAAGTAAAATATCCTAATAACAAACCAAAGTAAATTGAACATAATACACACGAACAATGGATACAAATGCAAACTAAAATTACAAAACTTACGTGGTATGCTGTGAACACCTCGATGTCATTCTGACGTACAGCTACACTCAAATCTTTCATTTGTTCCTTTGTCATTTTAACATCCTCAAGCCACAGCCTCCACAGGTCAGGACAACTGCTGAGATATCGAGCGAGAACACTCACTCCTTTACCAAGAGGGTTAGATGACAAGTCGAGCTCGCTCAGATTAGGAGCCTGATGTAGTGATCTGGCGATGGCTGCAGTAGGCCTGGATGTTAACCTAGCGTTAGAAAGTTCTAATACGTGAAGTCTTTCGCTATACTTTATACTAGACACTAAGGCTTCCATCAGTTGAGCATCAGAGATTCCAGAGACGTTATCAATACTTAAATGTTCCAGTGAAGAAACTAGTGGTAATATATCAGTGAGCGTCTCCACCTCTTGCCTTGCTATGTCGCCCACAAGAATGCGGCGCAAACGGGAAAGACTGTGTGGAATCGGACCAGTGATGCTAACAGTGCTCTCAGTCGAACACGAAGCTGTTTCTTTGTCATGTTCCTGGAAGCGATCACAGACGCGTTTCTCCTGAGTAGACTCTGCTGTTGATGAAACGAGCTCTCGCAGCATTTTTGTCGGAAAAGGGTAACCCTCTTCTTCTCCTGAAATTATTCTATCTATGTAGAGGACAATTTTGCTTATCTTCAAAAAATAAAAGTCGCACTGTCGGCGACATGCATGCTTCCTTAGAAAATCAGCAGCTTTCTTTTCACCTGAGGAGCTCCCAACAACTGCGTTTACATCTTCTGCTACAGTGATCAAGTCTCGATAGCTTTGCTCTGAACACTCAAACCATAGATATGAGAAAAAGATGCACCGAGGTGCCACAGCAGATTTCAGCAAGTGTTCCTTGGCAACAATGTTCACCTGGCTAGAATCAAGATACATGATACCTTTGGTGCGCGATAGAAACGTGGAGAAGAGATCTCGCCTCCTCTCAGGCGAGCAACAAAAATAACTGTGCGAGATGAGAGTTAAGAGTCCTTTCTGCTCAAACAAATTTCCAGTCGACTGAATCAGGTTTCTTAATCCAGAGTCTAACCACGATCCCATTTTCTCAACAGATGCAAAATAGTGCAAAACTGCGCTCGCGGCTTCTGTTGACAGCTCACAGGCAAATTTGAGTACTTCAATAACCTTGAGAATCTTTTCCACTGATTCAAGTCTGGACAGGCTAGTCATACTACCCCTTTTTATTGACAACACTTCCTCCTTCATGTGCCAGGCTGCAAGGAATTCCTGTACAGATTTATGAATGAAATAGGCCCCTTTCTCTGGATTCAGACTTGTAGTATTGACAATCTGGAACAGCCCAACTTCACTCAATTTTCCAAAAGTTCTTGAAATACGATGGGGAAGTTCGCTGCAACGTACGAACAGACGGCCTTGTAGTAATGCATCAAAGGCAAACTTTCCAAGAATACTGAGGTCTTCTCTAACTTCTGTTGAGGTCACTTTCTGAAATAGCACAGACTTTTCTCTTTCAACTTTGTGATTCAGCATGGTTTGAATAAATTCTGTGTAAATGCCGGCCCGTGATGTTGGTAGTCCATCAAGAGGTGGATCATTCCACAAACGGCACAGCATCATGAGGAGGAGAGGTATTTCTGCCAGGTCTTTGAGAGCTTTTTCTTTCAGGTAGGCCGTGAACTTTTCAACATCTTGCTCGCTTGTCAGAAATTTTCCTGCATAGGCTCTGATCTGTTTCCAATCTCTAAAACCATGAATTTCAAACTGAATGTGGCTAGGACCTGTTAACTCGTCACATTCAAATTGTCGCGTGGTGACAATGACGTGACAATCTCTCAATTGCTCGCCCCTCCATATTTCAAGGATTGGTGAGTGTTTTTTTACACAGCTGTACTCATCATAGCCATCCAAAACCAGAAGCACTTTATCTTGATTGTTAATTATGTAATCATGGAGACTTTCAACTGCAATCGGACCATCACCGGCCAGCAGTTTAGATGCAACCAATACATCACGGATATGTTTCATGTCACACACATCTCGCAACTTAATCATAAGGAAAATGTAAAATTTCATCAGGATTTCTTTTAAGGCTTTCGACCAGTCATACGCAATCTTTTTACAAAACGTACTCTTTCCAATTCCTGGCCGACCATAAACAAGCATTCGTGTTGGTTTGCGATGATGTTTATTTCCCTTGAACATGTCAGTGTAGTCTTCAAGTTCCTCTTGTCTAGCTCCACTGGGTGTCCTTTCATCTCTGACCCAAGACAAAGGTGTGTAGATCTCATCAATCGGAATGGATGAGCTGTCGTTCCATGGAACAGTTTTGACCTTACTGAAGGTGTCATAGTGAGACCTCAACTGCTCCCTGCACTTCTCAACATTCAACGGTTCTGAAAAATCAAAATAAAGTTTCGTCATAGAGACCAGTTTGTATACTGGCAAGTATTTCCAGTACCACCAGAACTCAAGCACTGTAACCTTTGCTACCCCTTCCCTAGATGCATGTAATTCCATCCTTGCCCTCCTACCCAAACAGAAACAATACAGGTCTACGTATTTTCTAAAAATTTCCCTAGCAATCCACTTGGCCAGAATTTTGGGTGGAGAGAACACAACACCATGAATGTTGCACCAAGCAAGCATTTAACAATAATCGTTCTATCTTCTAATCAAATTCCAGCCCATCAACACTTATTTCTTGTACCCGGATATCATGGTCTATTCTCAAATCAGCTAAACATTGATGCACACTTATTGTACACTTATCATTAACTTTGCTCGTAGTTCCTCCTGACTCAGTCACTCATCACTCATGTTCAGAAATGAAGTAACCAATTGAAAGTAACAATCAAAAACTTTAGTTACTTTCAATCAATAAATTGTTTTTTTTTTTATTCAGCCACGAATAACGAATAAAAAGGATAATACAAGTTATCAAAAGTACATTTAAGCAAATTAAGATTTTCCTATAATAAAAAAAAAATACCTGCGACCCTTTTCCGTTTAGAATTCGAAGAATCATATCTGTTAAAACTTCCCTCTCCAGCTAAAATGTCTGTAAAGGTAAAACAGAGTTAAACTGAAATTGAAAAGTACAATAGACCACTTTCATAAATGGCTGCCGGATTAATATTCTTTTGTTTTAATTTAAATAGCCTTTCTGGCCTCGTTCTCTAGTATAAAATTCAAAAGAAGACATTATCTCAAGCGAGGCCAGAAAGGCTAATTTAAATTTAAACAAACGATTATTAATCCGGCAGCCATTTTTGAAAGTGGTCAATAAACTTCACAAATATCTAATGGCCAAGAAATAACAATTGAAAAGAGCATTGGAGGAAGACAAAAATCTTTTGAGAGCCATCTCACAAAAGAGAACAAAAAGAGAACAGAAAATCATGGACTCAGATAATTGAAATATATTTCTAGGAATAAATGTGTTTTATATAATTTAAGGTTACTTCCCTTCTTCAGAGACTGAAAAATTCGGTTTTTCTTTTATTGGACTAGATTGAACCGCTTAGCCGAACTAGTGCTCACACTCAGTTGCTTTCCATTCGGGGACAACTTTTTCAAACAAACCAATGGTGTAGCCATGGGTACCAAAATGGGACCTAGCTATGCCAATCTTTTTGTAGGTTTTGT